ATGTTGTCAAAAAACTGGACAAAAGGAACTCACATTTGCAATTGGATAGGCATATCTTGCAGTAAAAAGCAACAAAGATTGACATCATTAGTCCTCAAAAGCTTTGGATTTAGAGGTTCAATCGCAACAGATATTGGGAACCTCTCCTTCCTTAACTCTTTGGACATTGGAAACAACAGTTTCTATGGCCAAATCCCCGATGAAATAGGGTGTCTGAGGCATTTAAAATACTTGTATTTGCAAATGAATAATCTCACTGGTCAAATCCCACAAAGCCTTGGATTTCTTACAAGGCTTCAAGTTCTTCATCTTTCTGAAAATTGTCTATTGGGAAATGTTCCATTGTCCATTTTCAGTGTGTCTTCTTTAAAGGACATTGATTAGTCTTGGAATTACGAGTTAACTGGGAGTTTGCCAAATGAGATATGCACTAATCTTCCAGTGTTGGAATATATATCCCTGCAAGATAATCAATTTGTAGGTGAACTACCTAGTGGTTTAAATAAATGCACCAAACTTGAAGTTCTGTCCTTGTCTTATAACAAATTCACAGGTAATTAACTAACTTGTAAACTTTTCATTTACTAATTTTACTTGTTTCTTCTTGAATTAATCATCCTTTTTGTGTGTGTGATGTTATATTTGATAGGAAATTTACCAAGAGACATGTGGAACATGTCAAAGGTTCAAGAACTGTTTATTGGATGGAATAACTTTACAGGTACGTGATTCTGTATGTATTAAATCTTGAATACTCTTAACGAAGTTCCTAATTTCACTAGATATGGTCAATGCGTGCATTTCCTAGTAACTAAAAAAGATTAATATAGTTTGGTCTAGTTTTCATTATACAACAAAATAACTCTCAAGTCTCTAACAGCTCCTAAAAATGTGATATAAATCAGGAAAATGTTTTCTTGGATATAAGTTAAAAAAACATTTTATCTTTCTGAAAAACATTCTCCTTCGTACCAAAAACACCCTATGTCTGATCTTTAGCGTGATAACTATATACTCCCTCTGTCCCAATTTATATGACTCACTTTCCTTTTTAGTCAGTCCCAAAAAGAATGACACATTTCTATATAAAGTAACAATCTAACTATAAAATATCTATTTTACCCTTAATGAAATGATTTACAGCCAAACTTTACAGGTACGTGATTTTGTATGTATTAAATCTTGAATACTCTAAACGAAGTTCCTAATTTCACTAGATATAGTCAATGTGCGCATTGTCTAGTAGCAAACAAAGATTAATATATTTTGTGGAGAACATTTTCGTCCGTACCAAAGACACCCTATGTCTGATCTTTAGCATGATAACAGAGTACTTATTTTCAAAATGAATTTGCAGGAGATATACCAATTGAAATAAACCTACCATCTATTCGAAAATTGAGTCTTCGAAGAAACGAGTTAGTTGGAACACTACCACCATCTCTTGGGAACTTATCGACGTTGGTAATGATAGACATTGGTGAAAATAAAATTCATGGTAATATTCCTCCGCAACTAGGACATCTCTCTAGTCTTGAAGGACTATATCTTGGATCGAACACACTATCAGGTGAAGTTCCTGTTAGAATTTTCAACATTTCTTCACTAAAAGTAATAGCACTTGCCGCGAATACTCTGTCCGGTAAACTTCCATCAAACTTAGGCTATAGTCTTCCAAATCTTGAAGGACTTTATCTTGGGATTAATAACTTTAGTGGTAAACTTCCTAGCTCTATCTCAAATGCCACTAAGCTCAAATTTCTTGATCTTGGAAGGAATATGTTTAGCGGAAACGTACCAATTGATCTAGGACTAAATCTCCAGCAGACTCAAAGCATCAACTTTCAGAGGAATATGCTAACAAATGATCCTTCTTCCACGGGTGAAATAAGTTTTCTAAATTCCTTCTCACATTGCAAGTACTTGAAATTTTAATGATTGGAGACAACCAATTTAATGGCATTCTTCCGAAATCATCCTTAACTAATATGTCCTTGTCTCTTGAGAGGTTCATCGCCTTTTACTGTGGAATCAGGGGGGAAATCCCAGTTGAAATTGGTAACTGGACTAACTTGTCGTGGTTAACACTAGGCGCGAATGAGTTTATTGGTTCGATTCCTCAAGAATTAGGAAACTTGAAAAAGTTGCAAACTTTGAGATTGTATGAGAACAAATTAGATGGGATCATACCTGAAAGGTTATGCGAAATGAAAGAATTATACTATTTTGACTTGCGAAGAAATCAGATTACAGGGCAAGTATTAGGGTGTTTGGGAAATATTTCTTCGTTAAGATATATTTATTTTGATTCGAATAATTTAAGTTCAAGTGTTCCTTTAAATTTTTGGAGTAATAAGGATATCTCAGTTGTGAGTTTGTCATTTAATCAGTTAAATGGTCCTTTGGCGTTGGAGGTTGGAAACATGGGGGGTTTAAGTGAGTTATATCTATCAAGAAATGAGTTGTTTGGTCCAATTCCAAGCACCATATTACAGCTTCAGAAATTGGTATTTCTTGCATTAGATATGAATAGGTTAGACGGTACTATACCTAAGTCATTCGAAAAAATGGTCAGCTTGGAGTACTTGGATCTGTCACAAAACAATTTGACAGACCGAATTCCAGAGTCGTTAACAAAGCTTGAGCATCTCAACTATCTGAATGTCTCTTACAATGAGTTATCAGGTGAAATACCAGATGGAGGGCCTTTTGGTAATTTCACAGCTGAATCGTTCATCGGCAACGCAGAGTTATGTGGACCGCCTAGATTCCAAGTCAAGGTGTGTGAA